CGACCCCCCTGACCCGGAGAAGGCACTCTVCCCTTTTCCGGCTCAAGACCATGGCCTCGGATTTGGAGGCTCTTATTTTCCTTTTTTTTTTTTTGTAATAAACTGTGCAAAAGTTCTTTTAAAAATTCCTGACTAGGGCATACTTTGAAACGCTTAAAGTCTAACTACTAAAGTAACACTTTTATATGCATGTCCTGCACTTTACTACAAAAGAAGATGAGTTTTAATTTATTCAGAGAAGTTTGCRTTTCGAGCTACAGACATAAAACGGTTCATTGTGAAGAAGCCATTTAGTGAAGAAAAACAAGTCCCTACGAGGAGCAGGGTATCAAAGGAAGCCAAAGGTGTGTACTGTATGTGAGAACGACGCCTTCAAACACTTTGGAATGGACTTGGGGAAAGACATTTGATACACCCAAACTAAAACCGGTCACACACCAGCGTGGGCCGCCCTGGTTGACGTTAGTGTGTCACGCTGTGCGTATTTTGGTCGAATCAAATGACACGGTAATATAACAGATTATGTCATACACAGTGCAACTTTTACCAACGTGACATAATTTAGTGCACAGCATTTCAACCTAAACCTGTTTTTTTTTTTCCATCTTGTAGTATTTTTCTAAGTAACACAAACAGGCGAAGTTACTTTGGGAGTTAACTGCTGTGCTGGAAGACAGATCAGAACAAACTGTGACTTCAAGATGGGCTGAAAGGGCGGGAGATGATAAAAGAGAGCGAGAGAGAGAGAAAAGCACGAGGAGGGTGAGGGGTTTAGTGTTTCAGCACATGTGCAGACACTCCCACCTTCAGATATAAACATGGACTTTTACCAGYCTGAGAATAAAGAAGCATGTTTCAAACATAATGAACCATAAATAGAATAAATCTTAGATTCGCTCCCATCACTATCACAACATGATGCATTAAATAGGAACTCTTGCATTATAAAAATACAAAAAGTCATTAAAAAACATTATTTTTAAACAGGAATCWGTGAAAATCTAAAAACTGAGACGCAGTACAATAACTGGGAGTGCATTCACAGACCATGTCAGATTATTTAATGCCCAGTGCTTGCCATATTTACACATATTTAAACACACTTTGTGCAAACCATTAAAGCCACCAAATGAAGGCATCGAACCCCTGAAAAACAATCATGTGAAAAGTGTTTTTAATTTGAGCTTCTGTACATCGCTCTCCTTGAAATGTACAAGACGGATTCCTCAGWACGACAATAAATAACGGTTTCATTCTAAAAGGTAGAAAAGCAGAAATACTGATGAGAGAATATAAATCTGACCATAAGTMAATTCTCCATAAATTCAAATGTATTTTAAAGAAAAGAAAATACAAATTGCACCTTTACAAATAATGAAATGTTTTGTTATCTGGATTAGAAGAAATGATCGAGTAGAGAGTAGAGGAAAAAGTGCATTTTTGTGTAGCGTCTAAACAGTCTACACTTTAATCTCTAAACTTTAAAACATGCACCCGTCGTCACAGTCATTCAATGAAGAAACAACCTGATTGTCAACATTCATCAATTTCATTCCACTTTGTTTAAAAACTCAGCTTGTGCATGATTCTAAGCAGACCGGCTGTTTGCCTGCAGCTTTTACATTCAGACAGAAAAGCCCGAGTGACCGTTTTGGAGGAGGAAATGATGGAGCTGGTACGACGAAATGGAAGCCGGGAAAACCACCAACACACAGATTGCACTCCAGTTATGTAGCTCAAGCCATCATTGGCACATGGCAGCCCATCTCGCCAGAAAATGTCCTGATGCATCTCAGTAATCCAGGTAAAATCGCCAGAAAAATCGCCAGAAAATGTGATCGTCTACAACCCCAAAACGTTGTAGCGTCACAATCTACGATAAAAAGATCTCTGGCAGCAAAGCATCACTGTGGTACGACCGAGTTTTAGGGACACACGAGATTTTTTTTAATTACGAGAATAGTCATAATTTTACAAGTTTAAACTCGTAATACTACGAAAATAAAGTCGTAATATTACGAGATT